ACAATTTAAATCTTTCGCTACGTTTATTTCTATTGGAAAATACTTTGGAGAGTGCCACAATTTTAATGTAATTTTCTATTTCTAAGCTTCACAAATGTAAATAAATAAATAGCTGTTTTTCCTATTAATTTTATTAAAAATATAAACGTTTATGGGTAGAAACGTGGTTAGTCGTGAATCAACAGACGATGATCCTTCAACGTGAACGCCAATTTTCATTTCAAAATTGATAAAACCATCTGACCACCGGGGTACGGTCGTGAATAAATATTGTCCCTGGTTGAACGTTGGTTAAACAATATGCAGAAGTGTGTGCTGTCATGTTTTCAAAAGGGGAACATACTCTCGATATAGGTTTCCATTTTTCTGGAAATAAAATTCGCTAGTATTCTTCGCTCTATTCTGAATTCACTGTTCTTTGTTGTAATTCCAATTAGGAAGCTGATAATTTGGAAGCGTAGGTACATTATTATTTTTACTTTTTTAAATTTTTTTTTACAAAAAACATCGTAAAACATACGTTATTTTGCGAAGCATTTTTAAGTAACGTGTCGCCAATAGCAAAGTGTATAAAAAGACCTAGTCGTACGAGTGTTAACTATTAATTCGTAGAATCGTATTCATCAGTGTCGACTAGGTTGAAAACCAAAGAGAGAGATAGGAAATTTGGTATTTGCTGTCCAGCGACGGGAAATTATCTTTCTGACGAGATTCAGCGTGGATTTCGTGTGTTCGTCGATGTCGAAACGCATTGAATATTTCAACGGGCACAGCATAGTCGTTCGTTCATCCCCTTCTGATGCCGCTTTCGTTTGCTTTTCGTTGGTTTATTCGGCTGGTCGTCGAATTCAAAGCCTTACCGTGCCGACCAAACAGCATCGTATGGTAGAACCATACCTACCATGTCACGTTTCAATTTTAATCATTTCACTCCATCGTTCTGATTCAACAAGAAATTTTAATTATTGTTTAGAACCATGCAATCTTTGGTAATTTAGGATTAAATTAGGGTTACTTTCTATCATTATGGAAATGATTAAAGTAATTAACTTGCCTCTGAAAGATAGCAATTTTTTATTTACTTCAGAATTAAAGCAGGGAAGATGATGATTTTTAAAATAAAATAAAACTATCAAATTTTTATTTGTCAATTGTAATTTATTAACAGTTGCACGTTATAATCTCACAAAATTATTAATTTCACAATCTTTTGTAACGGTGCAAAGCTTAAGCCAAATCCTCTCGTCAGTGTATGCATAAATTAACCATTCTATGATTCATTTATATCATACAATTCGACAATGAATTAGATGGTTTGAAAGTTTCCACAGAACCGAGAGCCAGCAGTGTATGGTTAGGATGGGAAATAAAAACCTTCGCCACTCTTTCCTGGTCGTTAATGCAGACGTTATTCTCGAGCTTTTTGTTATGGAACGAAAGTTTCCACATTTTTCCTCCCTTTCCTCGCGGAAGAATGTTCCATAACGGAAGCTGCGGAGCCACGAACGGTTTTCAACCGCGAACAGGTCGTACCAATTATTACAACGGCCTAACGAAGTCCCTTTAATTTGCACCTCGTCCCTCTTCTCGTTTCTCTTCACCCTGTTCGTCGTCGAATTCACGATGTTTCGCTTTCTCTACCCTATTGTTCGTACCTCGCCGACACCCGCTATCCCCTTTTTCCTTCCTCAAATATATACCTTAAAGGTCGTGGACTCAATTTTCCTGGTCGTATTACCGTGGAAACTGTCGGTCGGTCGCAAAGAAACCAACGGGTTTCTCGTTCCGGTGACGACGCCGACGCCGACGCCGACACACTGGGGTCGCATGAAAATGAGATTTCGTTCGTTCGTCAGCTAGTTAGCTAGCTCCGGGCGAGTAATTATCAGCTTGTCGCTCACCAGACTTTGCGTTCCAGTCACTGCTCGAAAGAATGGACAAACGGACTGATGGATGGATGGATGGATAAATGGGAGTGACGAAGTTTGGTGTCGCGGTAAGGATTGTTGCCCACAACATGGGTGGTTTTATTCAACAGAAAATTGATGAATTGAGAAAAAGAATTGGATATTATTATCACTTCGTTTATTCTTAATAGAGGAGCTTATCATTTGCTTCACCTCTGTAATTTAATTTCGTCTAGAATTTTTTTTTTTTTCAATTTAGAATCTTTACGTTTCATTTGGGGATTTAAAGAAATTTTATTATGATGATTTAATAATTTTTTTACTTGTTAACAGTAGATTTTAAGGAGGTTTTTCTTTTTAAAGAATTGAAGCAGGATTTATTGTTTTCGTATCTACAAACGATTAAGGATGTTAGTACAGTATATCGAAATAATGGGAAAGATGGACAAGACGTAACAGAATGTTTGCTTATTTTATTTTTCTTTCTTTCCTGTTGGATCTGTACGTTCCATCGGTTGCCTTCAGGCTGTTATCCTCTTCCTGTTTTCGATACGACATTCGGCTTTACTTTAGATGTATCTGATACGTAGTAACAGACATGGAAAATTGCTTAAGAGTAAACATGAATGATATATTCATGGATAAATATGATAGATTCACTGTGCTGAATTTTTCTGACAGAAAAGTCTGAAAGCATTTTTAATAAAAATCTATTTTGTGATGTAAACTACGTAGAAAATATTATATCTTATTATTATCTTCAAATTTTTAATTGCTTTTATTAATTTTTAAATTGAATATATAAAAAGCCGTGCATCGAAATTACGATCATTAAAATGAGTTATACAAGAGTGCTTTAGAAAAATAAGAAACCGGGTCGAATAAAATAAAACTCGTCGGAGTGAATTAGTTTCGCTAGGATTAATCGTGTTCGTGGTTAAAGTAACCAGAGGATTCCAACGTGTAATCGTTGAAACGGAGCCATTTTTCCGTGTTCGTAGCTAGATTTTAAAAACACTGTGTCCCTCTGTACAGAGAGAAGTAAAGAATTTTTATTTTTTTGACTATCCATAAAGGCCAGTCTGTGTTTCATTAGTTCTTCCAGTTGCAACTTGTCAAAAGTTATTGCTGCAAATTTTTTTTTTTGCTGATAGTTTTTCTGATCTTAGTTTAAAATTTAATTAATCAAATTACAGTGAAAATAATATTATTTTAAAATAAAGTTCTTTGCAGATAAAAAATTGAAAATCAGAGGCTTTGGAATTAAATCTTTTTATTGATATTTTGCGAAATACATAAATCCCCAAATAGGGATTTATTTGAGTTGGCGGACATAATTTTGTATTACAAACTGTTCGTCGAAATCGTGATAAATTCGGCGAACTGCATAATTTGGATTAGGTCACATGATTCCGTCTATAATTTGCAGTTAATTGACATACAGCCTATTTGAACGATGGATACGTTACAGTAATTACTTTAGTCAAATAATATTCGATCATGCTCCGCAACGTACACGCCGAATATACTGACAGAGTAATTACATATACATATAATTCGTAAAAGTAATCAGAAATCTCATTAATGTGATATATCCAAAGGACCGTGTGATTTATTTTATTGTCGTGTTTCAGATTGTTGTAATGTCATTGCAGGTACAGAGACTCGGTAAATTAGTATTCACGTGATACGATAATAATTCAATAACAGTTTCCGTGGTTAATTAATTTTGCTTGGGTGTTTTTCTGCCGCGTCACCGAGAAACTGAACACACATCGAGGATGCTCAATCATTAAAAGATATCTTTTCTGCTGGCAGAAGAGAGAGATTTATCGAGGCTGTTCCCATTCTTTGCTTCTGTAGGTACACGAACACGATATTAGACGGTCCATATAAATAAATAAACCGACGATAGGTGAGTGGCATCGCGTGGAATATATTTTTTCCTCGAACAAAGGGGAATATGCGCGTGGGATAAAGAAGAAAGATTAATCGTGCTCCTGAATCCTCTCAAAGCTGTGGGATAGAGCAAACACCGCAGGCCCAATCCTACTAATTCACTTTTTTCTCTCCTCTTTCTCTATTTTTTTCTCTTCTCCATCCTTTCTTTTTCAACAACGAATTACGCGCTAATTACTACCTCCATTATCCAGAGCTAGGCAAAATATTCTTTCAAATGGTAAATAATATCATGTGAATTTCTAATTTTCTTCGTAAGTTCTCGTATTAGATATGATTACTTTTTTTCAATTTCGAGCAGAGTTCTAATTGAAAAACTAATTATTTGATACTTGAATGTTGAATTCAATTAAGAAGGGCCATTTTCTGCAAGCTATTACAGAGGGATGAAATGATTAATTAAATTGAATTAGGCAAAAATACGGAAATCAATTGGAAATCAATGCAGTTTTGTTTCCTTAGTATGTCGATCGATTGGTAATTGACCTAAAGAAGGTCAGATACTCTAAGAGGATGGCAATAAAGGGTGAAAGGGATCTAATCGTTGGAGAATCTTAAGCCGTGGCGAGATCACGATCTATTTGTTCGAACGAAACGATTTCGATTCACCTGCGTCGAAACGCGACGTCGAAGATTCTCCAACAAACGCTCGGATGTCCTCGCATAGTTTCGAAAGAATGTTCCAACTACTGTTTTCCTTCCTGTTCCATTGATCCCATCCTTCGTCCTGTTCTCTTCGAGAGTTTGCAATTTTCGATGGAATCCAACGGCACACCGGAAACGGATCGACCACCGTCCAACGATATGGTGAAAGTTCTTCCGAAATATTGAAACCTGTTCAATGATTCATTTGTCGGCAATAGTAAACGCGTTCTTCTGCATCCACTATGCATGAAAGTGCATCTCTTGCAAACATGGAATTTCGTGTTTTAAAGATTAAATTAAAAATGGTGCTTATTGGAAACCAATTAACAGTTCAATAATTTTTTTTTTATTTTTCTAACTTTTATTTCTATTTCTGTTTCAGGTATGTTTCAATGAAGTTATAACACTCAGAGAGGTAGAGGAGAAAGAGGTGAGAGAAAGGGTGAAAGGGAGAAAGAAAGGGGGACAAATACGTCCTATTCGGTAAGTAACAGCTTTCATTAGCTTGATATACTTTAAATTATCTATGGTAGGTGCATTTTTGATTATGCATGCAATTACAATAATTACCTTCCCAACCCAATACAAAGGAAAGGAAAACTTTTTACAAAATGTTAATATTATTCGACTAGCAAATTTACCGTGTGTTCGTTTATTTGAATTTCACGTAAATTCTTTTTTCAAACTCGCCTTCGAATCCACTGTTTGCAAAAATAATTGCCAGCTATTGAATCCCCACGTGACAAAGAATTCCGAATATAAACAATCAAAACCACTGATTGTTTGCAATCGAAATTAGGATCACTTTTGTATAGTGATGCGAGGTGAATCTCATTTGATTATTTAATCAAAATTTATAGTTTCGTTAGTTGTACACCTTTATTTATTTATCGTTAATTAATATGGTTGCTCGTAAAATTAATTACTATGGTAAACATGTCAAAATGCAGTCAGTATTATGGTTCAGGTTATATTTGTTTATTATTCATATTCGTTAAGAAATAAATGAATAATTTTGACGTTGTTTCTCACGAAACACTGATTATTTTCGCAGCTTTCGCAAACAATTTGATTCGTACGTATCACGGGAGCGTGTACTAACAAACGGATTCTAGAACTGCAAACACCCTCGTTTGCAAATGTATTTTCGCGAAGGGAGTTAATCTATTCACGACAATACGGGGAGGATAATATTATTACAGAATTCTGGGATGGTTTCGTTTCTGCACAAATTCAATGTCTCTTCCATTTCGTTTTCTCGTTAAGGTACCACCGCATGCTACATCCCAGCAGACAGTCAAATCAAATCGTATCTTTCAAAAAATGGAAGATTTTTTTTAATAATAATACGAAATTTTTCACAAATTGTTTAGCACCATTTTCACGGTACACGATTCAAAAATATCCGATAGAAAGCTCGACTCGGCGAAAGCGTAAAAGTAAAAAAGCATTTCATTTAAAAACGTCACCGTCCTAATTGTTACGTCGCATTTGAACATTCGGCGGGAGAGGAAGATTGAAGGAAAAAAAGAAAAACCTCGTAGACCTTTCGACGTTTTAATTAATGCACCCCGACGAGTGGTTGCGAGTCGCGACATTCCCGGAAATGTAATATAAAAGTCGGTGCGAGTTGCTTGCTTCTCGAGCGGAAACGCAACGGTTCCCTCGTTCCCCCGTCTCGAGCGTTGATGTCACGAATATTTCGTCGTGTTTAACGAAGTGTCGACGCGAAGAAACGGCTGGAAAACTGTTGCCTTTCCTTGGTAGGGTTAGAAAAGCGGTTGAAAAAGAGGGTGGGCGCGAAAAGGGGGACGGGCCGGGGCCGAAAAGTATGGTGGCTCGTTATCGCGAGAAACCTTCCTGGTGCCTTGTTGTTCCTTCGTGGGGTTCTCGAGAAGATCAACGAACGTCTTGGTAAAAGCGTCGTTGAAAAGAAAAGGGACGAGGTACGTGGACGTTGGAAAAGAAAAGTCCGGTGGAAAAGTCGAAGAAGAAAGGGAATGATGAAAGAATTTAATTGTTCCACACTCGACGGAATAGTTTTTTGCACACCTGCGAAGAAAGTTTGCTCGTAAAGCTAATTGTTCTGCAGATTTTTGCCGCCATCCTCTTTGTACCCATTCATTTCCGTGATTGTTGCGTTTCTTTTTCCGTGCCATACTTATCCTCGCCTCTACTTACTTTAATTTACTGAATGATAATGAATAAGATAACATTAAAAGTGGATAAAGTTGTTAGCATCTGTTTTATTCTTATAATTTCTACATTGTTTGTTACAGATGTTTATTTATTTTAATTGCGGTAAAAAAATTTATTCGAATTTTAAAAAGTAATTAAGAGATTGCAGATAATAATTTTTCATTGAAGAAAATATAAATAAATATTTATCCTGAGGTAACACTTTTAAATGGTGATATTCTTGTTTCATATTCGCTTTTGTTTTTATTTTCGCAGTGGTATTGTTAAACTGTGATTTACCAAATACTGAATACCGCAATGTCATTCTCGAAGATGGAACACAGAACAATGTATCGCTTTTCTTCTATTCCCACGGAAAAACTTTCGTGTCCGTTGTCTGATCAAACTTTCAGTATTTTACTTCCAACTTTCCGATGCTTTCTTTTTACGACCTGGAATATAAAGGATGCAATCGCAATAGCGAAACGATCTTCTTACGAATGCATCTTACCATCGAATGATGATTTTCAAATTGCACCAATAAAATTTTGATTATTCCAATTTTCACGATATATCCTCGCTTGTACCATAATACACGTATAAAGACATTTTTTTTTTTTTCAAATTTAACTTCAACTTAACAAGATTAAATAATGTAAATAAGAAAGTATCCATGACAGGCGAGAAACCGTGAAATCTAGTTTCCACCGATAGAAGAACAGCTTATTTTACCAAAGAATCTTTTACATCCCTCCAACTTTGAATCCGCATACCACTATCATCGAAATCTCGTTGTCGAAGTAGGAAAGTACCTATGGGGAGATTTCGAGCGCATGGCGACGCGTACCGAAGCTCTGGCAAGTTTGCAAATCCAATAGACTTCGACGCTGGTATGCCCTTAACCCCGGAGCTATTTGTTCTTCTTCTTTTATTTGCATTTTTCTCCCTCGTTGTTTCCCTTTTTCATTTACTGTTAAATCACAGTTCGTATGCGCATCAATAATAATGGAATTAATGATTTTTCAATTAGGAACATGATTTTTAATTGTGAAATTAGATTTGCTATTATAATATTAAGAGAGTTTCGTTAGAAGATCCAAATGGTGCAAAATTAATAACGCAGGAAGTTTAATTAATATAAAAAATTGCTCAAAATTATAAATTTACCAAATTCATAAAATTTGTATTTTTCACCTTACGACTAGTGTCAAGTTAACCCTTTCGACTCAAGTACTTTCCATTTGGATTTTATTCAATAAAAATGATCCTACAAACAAAATACGACATTACCCCACGTTGACGGAAGGTGTGAAAGGAACAGCGATAAAAAAGAAAAGGAAGGAATGTGTAAAGAGGATCGAAATATCGTGACAGGGGGATGAAAAGTAGGCGTGCTGCCGGAAACAAAGGATCGGGGGGCCCGTTGGTGGTTTCCTTACGATGCTGTTAAATTAAATTACACGCAGTCCCCCGTACAGTCACGAGGGCACACTTGGCACGAGCAGCGAGTTACCCCCATGCATAATGCATACGGTATTTTGCTACAGTAGACGCGACTTCAACCTCTGCCCTCCTTTTCTGCGAATTCGTGAGACGTGCTACACCCACGAACGACAGGCCAGACCACGAAGAAACTTCCTTGAGAGTCGTCAGGATCCTCGTAGGGGTTAGGGTCGAAGGGTCGCTAATAGAACTGCAAATACCGGTGATTTAGAGAAAAAAGGGGAGCACATTTTATTTCTCTCGACAGGAAAAGGGAATAGACACGAGTATTGAGTGTAGTTGATTTTGTGACAGGTTCATCCGTGATTTCTGTTATTATTTTAATTATTAGGAAGGAAAGGGTGGTATTTGACCCCCCGGTAATTTTTATATTGCAGTCAAATTCAATTAAATTTTATAGATTTTAGAAAGGAATATACAATTAGGGTCAAATTGATTGAAAATTATCTAGAAACATTCTAAACCCAGTGACACGAAGTCCAAGATGGGCAAACAAATCGGTGGACCAGGTTTCTGGTAAATCTGTTCTCTGGCCACGTGTCCGGGCGTATCCGATAATACGAGAGACCACAATGGCCGTCGGTTAACGTGGCCAAAAACGCTCCGGGGTTGCAGGAAACGCGGATACATAAGCTTGTATCGTTATGCGTTACGGGAGATTGTAACGTTAGTTGCATTATAGGCGATGTAATTGCAAATTCCGCTCGATTACGAGCATCAGCGAGAGGGAGGCGCGAGCGCGAACGTACGTGACTGAACTTGCGATCGTATCGACGGGATTTGCTTTTATTCGACCGGGGGCCCCGTTGTCAACGGGATTTCTCTCCCGTTTCTGTGTACGTGCGTGTCTGGAAGATAGAGGACTGCCCTGGATATACGCGTCGCGTGGTCCTCGATGCGCGGATAATCGCGCCACCTTTCGCCTCGTTAAAGCCCGCGGAGGTACGTGCCACGAAAACCAATGCCCTGTCGCTCCTGCGAACAATTAATCACCCGTTGCCTCGGATCTTCGCCACGTTTCGTGATATCGAACGCGACGGATTGTGACGGATATCCTGCACGTGTAATGGAACTTTTTCCGTTGATCCCTCCTAGATATTGGAAATAATAGCCCTCCGTTATTACCTGGATGCGTATCAGTGAATGATTGTTAGGGAGGCGTATCACTTTGAAAACATATAACATATCAATTTAATTTCTGAAGCTAGGTATCAATTATAGCAAATAAATTTACAGTTTAGTATTTTTCGTTAAAAATATATTTAATTTTCAATTGCCTACATTCCAAATTGCTAACAGAATTTTATATTTAGTACGTTATGGAGAATTCATAGTTTTCTTGAGATAAAACTAAAGTTCCAAAGTGCTGTATCTCCTAAGTTATAAAATATGAGCAGAAACTGATTTCACTTATTACTGTACTCCGAGCTTTAAGTGTCTCGTAAAGGGTGCTCGTTCGCCGATTGAAAGCACAAGTTTGGCCGGTGACGGAATTTAAGGAAGATAAAATGGCGTCTCGTAGTTGCCTGGAATTATGCTAAACCGAGCGAAAGGAACGATTCCAGTCACGAACAGTGTGCGTTCGCGGTTCTTAGGAACATCGAGCAGTCCCTTGCTGTGAAAATTGAGTTTACGCGAAAGTTACTTCAAGTTTCGAGGGATTTCTGAGCTTCTTCGGGGCGGCCGCTGCCCTCCGAGGGAGATAGCTAACGGAAGTTTCACGCGAACACCAGTAACCGACCAGTTTACAGTGGCTCTTATCAATCCAATCTGGCATTCCATGCTGAACGTTCTTTAAACAAAGGTGGTTAATCAAAAATATGATTTATCATACTATTTACATTGTTCGAAATAGACGTATCACTGTTACTTCCAATGCAATTCCATTTTTAAAGTGCATCGATGCACTTATCAAAAAGTAAATTAGAGAAAAATAGATATTTCTAAAGCATTTAATTTTTCTTTATTTGCAGTAAAAATAAGTGAGATAAATTTTGAAGCAAACGTGTTGCATTTGAAAAAACATAACACTGAGAGAGCAGAAAAGTAAGTAAACATTTTTCTTACTCCTCTTCACGATACGGTGGAGATGACGAGGCGACACTTTCTCAAGGATTTTTCGCGATATTTTGCGAGAGAATACCGTGGACTTGGTTCACGTTGCCTTCGTGAATGACACTGTCTACTGTAGCAAGTAAGTAGTAAAAGCGTTCTTGGATCCGACCGCGATACCCAACTGTGCTATAAAGCGGTTTTCGGTGTACCGCCGACCAACCAGCGAGATAAATTCAAACTGAACGTGGCCGAATGCCGCGTTTAAGTACCTGTTCCCTTCGTATGCTACGAAATTTCATGCTATCTTCGATTTTATTGCTCGCAGTGACAATATTCTTTATTTCGAACTAGTCTTTCCTATTTATTCAAACTTCTGTGTTTTCTTAAAAATATCTCAAAATCGAATTCTATTTTTTTTTATATTCGTTCGTTATCTGTTATTCGAATGGAAAAAGTTTAGCCAACGTTGAATAGAATCCACGTTCGAAGCGAAATACAAAACGGGTGGTAAGTTACGAGGGCGACGAGCGCAGATTTATTCAGGCATTTTACAGTAACCGATTAAAAGGAAGGCCGCGATATACCGTTGAAAAGGAATATAAAGAGTCACAATTGAATCTAGCAGAAAGAGGAACGGTACCTTCGTGCCTGGGCACAAAGGGCCACCTTCTCCCGTGAACTCTCGGCCAAGAAAATTTCACGGAGCTGCAGTAATTAAAACACGGACCGCTCGAACTGACAAGCAAAGCCGACCGTTAAACTGGTTCTTGAGTGCTTATTGTAAGCGATGAAAATTAAAGATCGTGGAAACGACACGGCTTCCATGGGGAACAATGCTCTCCGGACCATTGAAATGGGAAACGACTGGACTCTCGGTCAGTTGATTCGATACACCAAAAGAAAATTACATATAATATTTATTAAGCTGTTCGAATCTTTGAAAAAGTTCCTATTCATATTTATCTAATTATCGCATCACCCATTTCTTGCAATATTAATTAACAAATTTACAAATTTTTAGTCATGGTTTCCTCACTTTCCCAGGGAAATTTTTCCTCAAAATTTTAATTTTGACGATGTTATTATTAAAAATAATTTGATTATAGTTTGATAACACTGAACGCAAATAATAATAACATTTTGTTTCTATTCTCCGTATTATTGTCAAACGTTTATAAAACAAATTACCGTGCTGGCAATTCGAGAAAGTTATTCAATTTAGATTAAAAGATAAAAATTCATAATAAAATGGAGAATAAGAACACTGTCTGATAATAGAAACGATTCCAGCCTTGTTATTATGACTTACATCCTGCAAGCGGAATGGAAGAGGAAATTTACCGTGGCAGGAAATTGAAAAGGGGTTGGGGTGGGAGGGTAGGAACAAAGGGAGCTTAAGTAATTAATTGTGAAACCGCGAACACGCGGTAAGATATGAATAAAAAAAGAATGATACGGATTAATAACCGTAGATACATCTCGTGTCAGGCAATCGGAAAAGAGACTAGTCAAGTAGGAAGATAATAAGAAAAATGAGGAGAGATTGCTGCTCTTTCGGATTTTCAAGATGACGCGCGAGTCTTTTGAGAAACTTTGCCGTGTATAACTTTCATTACAGCAGCTTTTTTGCGGCTTGTTTGCTATAATACACGGCTGCGCTGCCTGTTATTCGATAGCTGCGAAAGTTTATGATACGATAAATATTTTCTGGGTAAACTTTGGAAAATCGAAAATATCAATCACCTGTGTGTATCTATTTTCTTCTTTTTTGGAACAAGTATAATTAATAATTATAGTATGGGCCAAATGGAAATTGACTATACTATTTTTGTGTATTTTTCAATATTCGACTAAGCAATTACAATTTTCATTTTTAGAATCCGATCCGACGATTGTCTTCGTAGATGCATTTGTAATTAATCGAATGGCGGATGTGTGGCTGCGTGTCGATTCACAAAGTCCCCGAGTCGCTTATAGTAAACGTTAGAGCGAAGGAGAAATTATTTAGCAGCCGTTACATGACACCGATTACGAATTCTCTTGCTACCGTTTTACTGAACCAAGTAAATTCCATCTCGCTCCGCTGAGAGAATCCGTATGGAACTCTCAAGATCGACAATACGACGTCTGTCAAATGGATTTCAATCGGGTAAATGAAAACCGTGTAATGTAATTGAAACGTGTCGATTTCGCGCTGTAATAATTACGAAATGTGTCTTGTGCTAAGTGAATCGCATAGTTTGCTCCGTGTATAACTGTTGTTTCGCGGAGGATTGTTCAGGTGTGACAATTTCAGTCGAAATTTGAATCATACAGAATGACGTATCTAACTTCTGAGATGTCTAACTAAAATAATTAACAGCTATCGAATATTCCAAATTTCTTTAATGAAATATTTCACCCTTGAATTTAAAATATTTTAACATTGTACTGCGATACTCATTTATTACTTGATCTGAAGAAAAAAAATGGCTGGATAAATTTTCAATTTTCACGCTCACATTTCTAGATTTTTCATCCTTTGATAGCATAATCATTGGGTCGCGTTTGCATGTGCCCGGTAGACTTCAAAATAATCTTATCAAATTCTCCCCTGGTATGCAGTCGAACCGAGGGTTCGAGCTCGATTCCTTTTTATTCGAATCACGAACCAAATCAAAACCGAAAGACGAAGAAAAGAAAATAATAATCCTCTTTCCGATTCCCGTAGAGGTTTCGCGAAGTGCTTCGTTTCCTTCAACTATTTTGCTATAACCAGTATAGAGACCAGCCATGGAAGTTGTTATTCGATAAAGTAGGATTGAAAAGTAAGCAAACGCTTGAAATGCAATAGAATTTCAATTGCTTTAAGGATTTATCATTTCCAAAATTATTTCTGAAAATGGAATAACGTTAATAAAGTAAACGCATGATTTTCAAACGATAAAAACCTTGAGGAATTAAAATTAAAATTAGGGCTCTCTCCATGGTCCGCTGTATTAGGGTTAATAAAGAAAGGCAAGGCTAAAAACCCTTAGAGTAATTACCCATATAATAAAAGGACCGAAGTAGTAAATAAATTAATAAAAATTTTCCTGAGAAATTAACTTTCTCGGCTAATACCACTTTTCTTGCGAACCAAGAATGTGATATTTTAAGTAATGTCATTTTGAAGAGTGTTCGGGTCTGTTGTCTAGTATGCACAGCGAACTGTGTACCAATGCAAGTATGGTACTACTCGACAGGCTAAAAGCTTCAAAAAGGGAAAAGACTTTCGCGATTTTCTTTTATTAAGAAGCTGCCGCCTTGGATACAACGATTTACAGTCTCTTCTCTCTCTTCTTCGCCACTCTGCCGGATGAAGAGACTCGAGAGACGATCTTCTCCCTTTTCCTCTCGCCTCTCTGATGCTTACTTCCTCTCTAGTATCTTACTTCTTTTCGCGAGAGACCTTAATCATGCCTGGAAAGCCACGAAACGTAGTGCACGTAATACACATAGAACGTTATGACGGATCGTTGTAGTGTTATATTCTTCTTTTACGTAATCATTACTCTTCGCTCTACCTCGAAGAACACGAAGAGAAATTTTGTAATTGGTCCACACGTCTTTGATCTAACTTTGATCCAGTTAACTCGTTCGAGTACAATTTCATATTTTTTAATTAAATTAATTTACCATTTATTTCTATATTTCATCGTTTATTTATTAAGTAAGCGAAGACACTTCTTCGAAATTAAATCAATATTCTAATGAATAATAAATTGTTATTCTGAAAAATAATCAATATTCTATAAATCTTAAATTCTTTTCTGTGTATTTCGTTCCATTTCCGATCAAATTAAATTGAAACTATTGAAATATGCATATTTCTATTCGAATTTAAATAGACTAAAGTCTTTGCACCAAGTTTAGTTCTTCAGATACACGTGTCTCTATAGGATGGGTCGATTATGATACCATAAATTGTCGCGGTAAATCAATATGAAGCAGAAAGCTAAACACAAACCGCGTGATTTCGATAGAAACTTCATGTGATTCTGGAAGAAGTTCAACGCGCTATTAATAAACATTCCCTACGATATTTCTGTATAGAGATAACGATATCTCTTCAAAAATAGTCAGATATCACATTCATGTCACTTTTAATACTGTTACGTTTCTTATGACTTTAATAAATTCCTCTCTAATAAGGTTAAGACTAACGTTGTTCATTTGTAAGATACCAAATAGATAAGATAATTGTGAATCTCGATTTAGAACTCAATTAGAAGGAAACCATATTGTCAGTATTTAACTACACTAATTAAATGCAAATATTAAATTTCTTCTCCTGAAAAATTTTTTTAAAATTATTACAATATTAATTTCAAACAATGATATAATAATAATACACAATAGTCAAAACTTGCACTTATTTATTGTTTCATTTTGATAAAGATACATGTGAATTTTTTAAAAAACTGCATAGCTTCAGAAATAGTTACGAATATTACTGGCAGGTGTATCGGTAACAGTAAATATGGCTATGCGGTTATCTGAGATAACCAATTTAACATAGCAGTCGTAAACTCCATCGTGACATTTAACATAGAAAAAGTAATACGCCACGTGGAACATCGTTGAAGGTAGCCGTGCTATTCCAATTTCAAGCTGGCAAGAGCATCTAAACACGCTATGCTTTCATACCTAGAGTTATCAATTCCCGGGCGGCGTACACCGTTATATATTTCATTCTTCCGGGTATAAGAGATCGATCCGCATTGTCGGTATCGCTGTTGTGTTGCTTGCTACCCCTCGTTGCTGTTAACATCCACGTCAACGTTGTCGGCCTCGGTACGTTGCTTGCCTATCTTGCGCTAACGGTGCACGAGTGACGATACCAGGACGATCAACTAGAATTTCGACGGGATGAATAGGTTTTGCATAAATGCTGATTTCATAGGAATTTCAAAATCTTCCATTGTGATTATCCTGTAACCGGTATCAATCTTCTGAATGCAAAACGTCTGGTTAATGGTTAATGGTAACAAACAATAGAATTCTATTGGGTCATTAAATGAAACTTTCATGAGAGAAAAGTGTTGCTAAATGGCACTTGTGGCATATTAATTTGAAGATTAAGGTTTAATAAAAATTACCACTTACATGCCCCGTTGCTATCTTTATTAAAAAATAGAAAATTCTGAATTATAAAAATCAATCGAGCTCATTTCGAAATAAAAGTTCTAACATTATTTCATGACAGAAAAGTATTATAAAATTGCACTTATTATATGTCAATTTAAAGCTTTAGGTTTGAGGATTAAAAAATAAAGCCACGAAGTGGATTAGAAAAGAATTTGTTTTCTTGCTTTAATGAAAAATTAATTCACAAGGACTTTAAAGCTTCGAAATGAATGGCTTTTGAAATTATCGCACAGGGTTGTTGTAGTTTAAATTAAATAGTTTCTACGTAATATCTTAATCACGCGATTCAGAATATTTCATACATGCTGCACGCGTGCTTCGTCAGGGCTTGCACGAATATAACATCGAGGGCAATTTGTCGATCGCAATATTGCATACACAGCAAACTAGCTACGAATATTTAATATCAGTTTAATATTAAAGCACGCAGTGAATGTTACATATCTATTATAAAGACCTAGAAAACATTATAATCCATTAAATCACTCGTTGAAACTTTCGGTGTACCATGGTATTTCAAACATAATGTTTTATTCCTCAAAATAAACTTTTTAATCTATTTGCAAATATTTTATCACTGGTGCACAAAATAATTATTTTCTAAATTATTTCTTGAATACAACTATATATTGAAAAGTTTTTTTTCTAATTTCCTTAAAATTTTGTAAATTTGACTAAATAATTGAGGAGTAAGGGAATATGTATGTTCACCTACCAAAAGATAAAGCCGATTATAGTTCTTGTACTTTGAACTTGTTACCAAATTATTACATCGTAAACTAACTTTAGTAGTCCATAAATAATATTTTACCATAAAGTTACTGTTAAACAACAAATTATACAAAATTCAGTATACCAAATTCAGATTGTTAAATAAAAAATAAAAAAAAGCAAGGGGTGAACTATAATCGATTAGAAGTTCAATCGGATATTTTAAAAATTTTCACGCTTGGAAATTTCTGGCAGTTTCGTGTTACTGAACATCGAGACAACCAAATTTTCAATACGTTTGCGCGGCATTTAAAATATTTTGCACTTTTTAATATTTTATTTCGTATAAAAAAATAAACGAAAAATGGATGCGCAACGCGACCAATAACTTTACAATATAATATGGCATATTTGGAATATTGAGTTACTGATACGGGAAATAGTAGTTTATAATGAAAATTCCGTTGAAAATTATTTTCTTGGAATAGAAGGTAAAAATTAAATACATCAAATTTTCAAACACATCAAAATGATAAATGTTAAATTTTTTATTTTATATTACTGAAATTGTTAAAGTGCCTTTGTTGATTTTCATCGAATCAAAATCATATACGAAAAATTCCATTTTTCTAACTATGTATGTATAACATTATTTCACAAATGGAGATGTGGTCTTCGTTATTTGAATTATTGCTAAACACACACGCGTGTAAACGATCGCGTATACGTAACGATGGATTTATTACTGTGATATGATATCTTACTATTTATTGTTATTGATTTATCACTGGGAGAACGATAGAATTCCCATTGCCCGGCAATTTGCTCGATTCGATTGCCATTGAAAATGTTTGGAAGGTCCTCAAATTATCCATTTATCAGCCATCATCACCTTTCACGATTTACAAGCAGAAATTTTAAATAAAATCAAATTTTTCATTTGTTGAAATCTTTTTATTAAAAGTATGAAAAATGTTGAAACTCTTGAGGGGTCCTAATTCGACAGGTGAATATTGCAGATTGTCAGTCAAAAATATTGAATTTATAATCAAATTCGATGACTATATTCACAGGTTGAACCTGAAAGTGAAAACACTGGATAGAGAGTATGGGTATGAAATTCATGGAAATTGGATCGAAAGGAAAGCTCCAGACAATAAAAAAACAACGAAAAAATATCGATGAATAAATTTTAATAGTGTATCAAATTTCTCTCGCCTATTGCATATGAAAAAACAACCATAAGTAATAAAGTAAGTAAACAATTAATGAAAGATTCCATGTTACGAGGAAAAAATAGCAGAAAGGTGAATAAACTTTTCATATGAAGAATGAATTTCTTATGCGTAGGAAAGACAAGCGTTCCTGAAAGATTAAGCGATTGTTTAGGATATAACGAACCGTTTCGAGTGAAATGTACGTCCAAATGAATTCTAGAAACGCCGCTGGAATTTTGAGCGTAAGAAGGTGAATACGTGACGAGAGTGTAGGATCTTTGTGATGAGTTTAAAAGCGTGGTGAAATCGAAGGTCGAATTCACCTGAATTTTAGTCAACTATAAAATTCGATGAATCAGAATTGAGTGGGATTACAATATAAAAATGATGATTTTTTGCAATTTAAATAATTTTTATTTTCATTCATTTATCATGTAACAAAAATCTGAATAAAATGATTGAGAATACAGTATGTAATAGATCACGGTGCATCGTCGATTGGAACGTTCGGACGGCGGACCATGAAGAGAGGCCCGATTTTAATAGCCAAACTACCAGTATCCGAACGATCCGAAGTATTTGAATGACTTGCGAATAGCCGAATTTAATTATCTCCATTAGCATTATCAGTGCAGAATACCAGACTTTCGTGGAGACGTAGCTTTAATCCGAAACAAGGTCGGCAACAAAAGCAGTGCGGCTCTTCTAGGTTCGCCGTGATACGTTTGGCACAAGTGGAACACCGACGTCACACTCGGTGCACGCTGGGATAATAATAACAATTATCGGGAAACGAATGTAGAAACGGTGCAGAAGGCAAGTCGACTCGAAGATAATCGTTTCGAAATGTTCCCAGGCTGTGTACGTGTGTTCCGTCGGCCGCCTGAAAGGAATGAGAATGAAACAAAAGAGACGTGGCAGCGGAGCGTGGATTACGCGTCTCACGTTCCTCAGTTATACCAGACGTGAGTATACTGTCACGGTTGCTTGTTGTATTCCATCTGGTCAATTTCGAAGACCTAGCGTCACACGGTAACGAGGACACCTCCAGGAATGATCGATACCATGGCCAATGCATCGACGTACCTTTAGCCTATTGCATCCTCCTTCACTGACCAATCCAATCTTCGTTCAGACCATTCGCGATTAATCCACTTGACCATTGTTTTCTGAATTTCCAAGTACCTACGTCAAATTTTAGGTGTCCATAAAAGGGTTGAACAGTATTTTTATACTGTTTTCGTGTATTTCACATTATTTTTATTTTCTAAATTGAACACTGTAAAAACATATACGTATTGAGAATGAAATATCAACAGTGACGTTCAGCAGAAGAATACTCGCACGTAAATTTCTCAGACAGTCCTCTTATGTCGTAATCTTTATTCCTTATGTAAGAATGTGAACTATTTCATAAGCACGTGTGTGTTTCCCCTTCACTCGTAGAGGAGAAACGTATCTTGCTGGAATTTTTAATCGATCCTAGTTTCCAGCTATGAATTGCACATAAAATTCAGGATGCAATAAGAAAATTTCAATATCTCTAAATTTCATAATCCCACTCTAATTCCTTTCGCTACCTCAGAAAAACCGATGTCTTCTCCCGGTTCTTTCTAAGAGAATTTAGGTATTCCATCGTAATTCAACGAAAGAGAAAGACTACATTTTCCTGGAAGTACACATTTAAGACGAGCTCGTTTGTTGAGGTTCGCGTATATATACACACGTTAGTCTGTTATTCAAATGCTCGCATTGCCGTCGACGTGTCTCGTTCATTCGGTGCCGCGAATAACACCGTTCTATCCCTTACTTACCATTCATATTGTATCAGGATTACACGGCCACGTCGGGGAACACCGGTCCGTACAATAAGGTACGGCCACCGAGAGATCAGATGCGAGCCGGTCTAATTGCAATTCCGAATATTCAGAAGCGAAACCGAAGCTGGCCAACCAATTGGATTGTCACGCTCGTGAAGGCTTCTGTTCCCGGTAAAGAACAGATTCACCTTCCTGATATCGCGTTCGAAAAGTGCCACCATGGATGGCACAGCTTGAGACGTCTGCATATGAGTGACTCCATTGTTCCCTTATGTACACACTAGGGTGGACTGACCTGTCTTGTTTAAAGGACGGTCGAGGATGAGGATGGGCAGCAGTGCAATCAAGACAGTGTCGTATATTGCGATGATTAAGACTTTGAAGGTACACCTTTACGTGACAGTAAATTGCAACCCTTTAATTAAGAAAATATTCACATTTCAGATGTTTGAACTCTGTCATCTTTTCAATGGTCAATTTGATGAAAATTTCATGACAGAAAAGTATCACGAAATGGTACTTATATATGATATCAAATTGAAGCTTAAGGTTTGATAGAGTTTCATAAAGTTTGATGAAGTATCTTCGAGTTTCATATACCCTTAATATTCTTAATAGAAAATTGGACAGTGAATTGGTTAGCATGAAAGCTGCAACACGTATCTTGCTAAGATATCACAAAATATTCCTTATGGTCAATACAGAGCCACTCTTGTAGCTAACCATGAAACCTCTCTTCTACCGAACTACCATCCAGAGAAATCTGTAGCAGCTCGAGTGGCCGTGTAAGATGGTGGCGGCGGTAACCGATGGTATCAAGGGGTTAGTTTCGCATAGTTATATGCAAAGGGTGTAGCAAGACTGGGAAAAGACGTAGGGTGGTGTACAGGGTAGGGCGAATAAAATATGTATAGACGTCGTTGGTTGTAGCGAAGCTTTAGCCACGGGTTCGATGGTAAGAACTTTCGAGCCGTGGGTTCCTTCGGCGAACGAGCGGAAGGGGTTGAAGCACATTGGGCGAGTTTCGAACTCTTAACTGGAAGAGGCCTGCGATCGAGCGGCCGCGAAAAGGAGTTTCGTACGCGAAACTCGCTAGACCGGAAACATCGATCGCGTATTCCGCAACGCGAGAAAAACGTTTACCAACGCGTGCAGGCTGCTGTGTTGACAAAGTCGTGGGTGCGCGCAATTCTGCTTCGGATTAACGAAAAGACACGCTCCTAGCTTCGTCGTTTTCATACTTTAATCTATAGGGTGCATCAAAATAGGCGCGCACTTTGCGTCAAGATAATAGTACAAGGTTTCTCAAAAATCCCTTCGTTTTACTTTCATCTTCTCTTCAAACTCCACGACGAAATTTTATGTGCTCCTCAAATATCTCTACTCTGCTCGATCAATTTTCCAATTATCGTAGGAGATCGAAGAAAAACTCTCTCTTTCACGAGAATCGCATAGCTGCACGAGCTACGAGATGTTTTAAAAATGATGCGAACCGTGAGAGCTATAACTTTTACAATATTAATTTCAACGTAAAGTCATACAGAAATTGGATATAAAGTGTAACTCTAATATTTTTTTCAAATTATCATGAAGTAGGTACTCGAAAAAAGTTGCGCGCTGCGAAATTGAAAGCTCTTCAAGTTAAAAATTATTTTCTTTTAAAGTTTAATCGAGATAAATGTTCGCATCGAAATAACGCTACAAAATGAAAAAAAATTCGCGATCCTTCACTTTTTCTATCGAGTGCAGAGCCTCTCCACGCGAATTCATGCGATTCGAAAAAAATCCTAGCACAGGTAAAAAATCATAATTAAATTTGAATCTATCGCAGAACGGAAGCCTGCAATTTCGTTCGATCTGTTTCGAGGAGCTCGTATCGAATACGTCGATCTCGTCCATTCGTTTTCGACGATAATTTCCATTCGAGCGTGTACCAGCGATAACCCTATTCCTCTTCGGACCTCGGCTCCCATTCTCCTTTCTTTCACGGTGATTTGACCGGGAACGGATACGCAGCCTGGTCCTCGACTGCAATTCAATTATCCATTCGACGATAGCTTTCCCGATCTCTCTTTTCTTCCTTCTCTTGAACAACCTTAACGACACACGTTCGAACCATCGGAGAACGGAGGAACGAATGAGACTTATTTCTGGCGAAATCTCTGGTCCAGCCAGAGACTCGCGCGGAATTGAGTGGCGGTGTAGAAAACGAAGGATGGAGAAAGAAAAAAGGGATGTGGATCCATTACGTGGAATCTTTTTACACCAAGGAAGTCAATTAACACGAATACGAATCTTCCATGCTTGCTTTTATTTTGCATTCAAAAATGGGTTAAGACGTTTAAAAAAAGAAAAGTCTTAACCTAATTAGCTGAGATTTTAAAAATGAGGAATGAATTTTTTCCACAAATATTTCCACAAATTTTATATATCGATACATCATAAAATAATAACAAAAACTCCGTTTAACTCGGTTTTCATTTAAGAATTAATGATAATATTTATGTAAAATCATGAATTTATGCGAGTGGCTTTAATAATTTGATGTTGGGTGTCGTCATAGAGAACGTTGGCCATTAATCTGGAAATTCGCTTCGCGCTTTCACACGTATCGATCCGCTTAGCCTTATTCAAAGTTCATTAGAAGATTAGACTGACGCTTCGAGTCTCAATCGAGGTAACGAACAATCGCGTGACTTTGTAAACACGCTCTGGAAGCCGGGTAGTCCGACAATTTTCCTTACACCGTCAACCCGTTTCCAAGCGGATTTTCCCTTGTGCCGCAGAAATTTATCGTCCCTTCACGCGTCAACGTAAATCGTGCTTCAATGACCCAAAATAAACTTTGCCCGGAGAGCAGCGACCGCTCGGTTGGTGTCCACCGCATTGGGGCCATAATTTAACGCCGACCGATATCGCTAACCAAGGAACCGGTCAAAATTGCATTCTAACGATAACACGGAAATTTCAAAACTTTTCATCCGTTCCTCCGCTATTAGTAAATTCGATAAATTAATTTTCGACGGTAGAAATGACGAATCGTTGAAAAAGTGTACATCAGACGCAGGGAGATTTCGTTGGATAATTGTCGCAGCCAATCGAGCGTCACCACTTTGAGAGCACGGCGCAAATTATTCCGACTTAACTACTTGGATTCAGGATCACACAATGGAAGCAACTGGTCTTGATCGTTAAGCATACAGATGAACTACCTCGCGCAAGATTTCCCGCGTTTCGTCTGTTCGTTCCACGAACAAAGAACGTTCCTCGGATTCAGCATCGTTTCCTTCCTCGCTCTAAAAGAGAATTCTCGGCTGACGTACAATTTACATCGAAATCCATTTTGCATTTCGCGTCTTGTCGCTGGTGAAGAGACACCGATACTAATGGTCGATCCACCGAACACAAGAGGGAAGTCCCTGGTGGAGTTTGATAAAAAAAAAAGGGAAAAGATAGAAAAGAAAAGGGAAACACGATGTAAAAGCCACGCTTCTGCGGAACTTTCCCCAGAGACGAGGACACGCTCGCCATTACATGTTTCAGACGTAACGTCGTTTTGCTCTTTGGCCTTTCTTTTCTCTCTCAGCATGCAATTTTCTGCGTCCGTCGGAATTTTACGACCGCGGTGTTGTTACGACGGTAATACGCTGTTTTTCTTCCATGTTTTTCCGTTTTTTCTTTTTTACCTTTTAAGAATAAGGAGGAGAGGGAAGTAAAGAGCGACGCGGGTCTCGTTGAAAATAGAGGCGGGCGATAATTACGAGTCGGTTGAGGTGCGTGGAAAACCCTGGTTGAAGTATCATTCGTTTTGCTGCCTGTTAATGCGCGTCGATACACTTTTATTCCAAGAAAATACGAGAGAAATGTTGTGTAAGTCGTTCGCGTTAGTCCCCCTTAGCTGTTGATTATTGCTGCTGGGATTCTTAAAATTGTTACAGTCCCAAATTCTCAGCTAACTTAATTAACAACGCTGAAAAAAGTAATCTACTTCTTGCCACGCAAGCAAAAACCTTGTAGTCTTGGCACGATCAGGAATATCAACATTCCACGGATTAAGTTTTATTTAAATTATTCTGAAGATTTTAGGGTTTGGTATTGCAAACGTTCGAAATTTACATAAAATGGACTTTGGTTGGTATCCGCTTGCCAAGTACGGCTTAGACTTTGTAAGTTTCAAAGTATACTGTTGGTAATGTTAAAAACTTGTCACTAGTAAATTCTCATTCGTGTGTAAATGAAAAAGTTTTCAAAGCAGATTTTTTGAATCGAACGTACGGGTCATTTCTTTTCAGATTTATATTCTATATTCTATTCGGGCTTAAAATAATTTTGATTGACATATCGTGTGTTGCCAGTCGACATTTTTAAGCCAACGATCTTGTCGTGGAATTTATATTGCAAAATCAATGACAAATTGTCAATCAATGAGATTTATTTAAATGTAGAAAGTATTCGATTTTAGAATCTCCTGTCAGCAGTATTTCCAATTAAATTGATTTTTACGTTTTTTAAAATTTATTGCTGTCACTCGACAGATTCTACAAGAATATAAAAAATTGGTACGTACTAAAAATGTGCAGCGACCGCTTTTATATATATTTTTTATTCATAAGAGGAAGCCATGATGATGATTTAATTTTTGCTTTTCAATCCGATGATTGCGTTTTTAAAGCAACGCCATCCCTTGATCTTTCAATTCATTTCATTCAATTCGTTTGCAGAGAACGTTCATGTTTTTCACTTTGTAAAATGAAATTTTTCATGGGAACATTCGTTTAAATTCTGTTTGATTAAAAATAAAAAGAATAAGAAGCAAAGCATATTAGCACGAATGATTGGAAAAGTTTAATTTTACACCGCTATGCATTTCGTTTTTCTTAAATTTTTAAAAACGCCGGTATCGAATCTTTTATTTTTCGTTTTATATTTTATTTCTGGAATCAGAAACGTATTCTACCTTTACAGTTAGACAATTTTCAGCATAGTTAAAGGCTTGTCGCTCGTTTGCAGTGAAAAGTAGGAAAGGTTTAACTGAAGAACGAGTGAAAAATGTTCTCCTTGTTAAAATACAGTGAAGGGGTTTTGTGTAAGAACCTTTAAAACAATGAGGTCATATTTTTGTAACAGTTTTATATTTTAATCACTCTGCCCTTAATTTCTTTTCATAGCACTGAAATTTCAGGAAAAGAAACATTTAACTGTTTGAAAGAATTTTTTATAAAAAGATGTTGATGGTCATTAAACTTTTAAGCGCGTCAACAGCTTATAGTAATTGCAGATATGCATGTTTTTCACTCGCAGTAAAAGCAGGCTTCTCTAGAAAAAATAAGAAATGGTGAGCACCAAGACTTTCTAGTGTACAAATTGTTTGTTTCGTAATTTAAAAAAATTTTTTTCACAATGAAAATATATTATTGCGTGCAATCAACCAATACATATTTGTTTGAATATGTGAGAAAACAAATAGATACTGCTGTTATTTAAAATATTGTTAAAAATTGAAACATTTTTAATATTGACAAAAAGAAACATTGAAAACAAATAGCTGCAATAATGATTATACAAATTATTTTTTGTTATTAAACATTGCTGAATGTGATATTGATAACATTGACAATATGGAGATGAAAATTTCCATTATTTTTCTTCATCAATTATTGACAAACCTTTTATTGTTTAAATCCTATATCTTATTTCAACAATTGGCATTAAAAAAATTAATGAAATTCCATAAATTGGGATAATATTTTTCCCTACGAATGTTGAGGAAAAACAGAAGCCGGCGTACGATGTTTGTTTAAAAAAGGGGGATTCAAACGACAGAGATCAGAAAGAAAAACAGCAGCTATGAAATAAAAAAATAACAAAGGGAACGGTTAAACAAAAATCTGATAATCCCGTAGAAAGGAACACAAAAATAAATAAAGAGAAACAGAAAGAACATGAAGCGGTAGAAAATGGAAAATGTGTGTGTTTTTTTGATCAAAGATTTTGCATTGTAAATGCAATGAATAAGCTTCAGTGTTTTATGTAATAGAAAAAGTGAACAATCCAAGTACGTTAAAAAGTATTTTAATTACAAAATATTCAATTTTTCGTATTTTACATTTCAGTCATAGGAGAAGCCTTTCGATGGTAAATAACATCAAACATTTTTTAATAAATAGAAAGATTTCGTGATATAGGATGATAAAGTAGACCTAATAAACGGTGAAGCTGATTAATCGTTGATAGCGTGATGCATAAAAGCCTCTTCTTTCTCTCTTCAATTCTGTATCCTTCTTTCGTGTCGATGCCAGGATAAGAGGGAAAACAGGATGCGCTTTAATTTTCGTAGGAAAAAAAAATTAATTTCTCGAGTAGTTGCCAAAGCTGAGGCTACTTCTGTGCCGGTGATTTATGAGTCTTCTATTAAAATGATTTATCGCACTTGGGAATTGTCCGCTTTATCGTGGATACGTCCAGCATATCTTGAAATTAATCTTAATATTATGCCTCCTGTTACGTATGTGTACACTATCCAAAAAGTTTTATCACAGATTCGTTTAGAAAATTTAATATCAGATTATTTTGAACCATTAAGCTGGAAGTGAATATTTATAAAATGATCTGATTTATTTATAATTAATAAAATTTTATATTTTTTTCTTTTTTAAATTAATGTTACATAACAAAATAATAATTAGACCAGTCCTTCTTGAAAAGATAGTTGATTATGTTATCTTTGTACATTTAATAACAGGAGGTAGAGTTACTAAAAAGTCGTTTATCGGACAGCCTGTTGAAATCGATTAAATCACTTCGCAATGTCTTGGAAAATTTTCTTAGAAACTTAATAGAAGGTTACGTAATGAAAGTAGCTAAAGCTCGTTTCAAGTTGAACCAGTGTTCGGGCTACCAGGGAAAAATGAATAATGAATTTTATGGAACTCATCCGATTCTTGTTATTGTAATTCACGTTCGCACAAGTAATTTGAAATTTTAGTTCAAATTACCCTGATCTAGTTACAGTTTGCCGTGACAGCAAAAGGACCAATGGAAACTTCCACTTCCGGGTATTACGATGGAAATGGTAGAAGTAGGATAGTAGAAAATGGTCGATTTTAAAACTGAACGGGAAAGAACGATCCTAAAAGTCTTTCTAACCGTTCTATGTTATAATAATAAGAATATTTTATCGCAAATATTTGGGAAACTAAGCTTGTTACCTAAGAATCAAAAATAAAAATGATAAAACTATTTTACTCATGCATTTGAAAGGCACAAAGCAGTGCACACTTTTATTCTAATTTATGGTGCGGGATATTTGCAACCGTAGAGATCTAAGTTATCTCCCGTAGGGACACTTGATTTGCTTTCAAGTGATTTCTAAGTTGAGACAGAGTGAAGACGATACCACGTAACAGTAATAAAACAGATCTTAATCTTTACAACGTCGATAAAACCAACTGAATAAAAGTCCTCCATTTCAGTAAGAAAGATCAAGATGGCCTTAAATAAAGATTGATTTTAATTGAAAATTAAAGGATTCGTATCCTATTTAAAAAGGAAGAAAGAAAATTTCTTGATCTTAAAATTTTCAAAAATCACAAGACAAAGGTTAATTCCATTTTACTCGACGTAATATCAGTGTAAAGGCAACTAAGTATAAATTTGATCCCTGATATTGTCTCTGTATTTATGTTTCCTCCTCATTGACATGGGCGAAGGGTAACCGTATACTAGACTGCAAGGTACAACGATCTTAGTCTATGCACGACGGCTAATTTAATTGATCATCCACTGTTAGGTGAAGATCTCGTTTCAGGGTCACGTAACAAAGGAGACGGAGCAGTTATTGCATCGAAGGAAACATCCTCCGGTATCAAAGGCGGGGACGATCTTCAGGCCGTGTTCTTTGCCCTGTGTACGCGGTTTCTATAAAAGACGATGACACTTCAATTGGCGAGATGGTTGCGGTTATTGAATTTCTCGGTATTCCTTGTCTCCTTGCACCAGATGCTTCCGTTCCTTTCCGGGCAGACTCGTTGAAACGGTCTTGTTGCTGCCAATTATCGCCAAGGATACGTCACATTTCCGAATCGAATATCCGATCCTTGCAATTCGATGCTCTTCCATGCCATTATGTTTCTTTTGTCGTCCTGATACCTCTGATTTCTGGTATTATTTTCAGCGATGGATAAAATTTAAAAAAAAATAGAAAAATATTTCAAATTTTGTTTTAAAATAAAAATTTTTTTAATAATATTTAATATTACTGAAAATTAAAACCACTTTCAGAAAAATACAAAGGGGGATGCTCGTAAGGGTGGCAGGGGGTTGGCACGACACTTTCGACGTTGATACAAGGACGTTTTATCTTTCTGTGTTCTCTGAATGTTTACCTTAGGGATATTTTTCTACTGGAATTTGATATCATGGGAATTAGTCTGTTTGGTGTTGTT